ATTAAAAAAAATATATATATAAATATGTTTGTCAAAATTAAAATGAAACCAACAATAATATTAACTAATAACTAATTACTTATATAAAAAATAAGTAATGAGTTCTAAGTTTTTTGAATTTTTTATTTTGAATTAGCTTCGGTTTTACTTTTATAGAGGATTAGACCAATTAACTAAGGACTTATAACTAACCCATATTGCATATCATTATTTTTTTTAATAATTACATGTTACGTTTTTTAAAATATTATTTTATTTTTTTAACTTATTATATATAAAAAAACATTTTAAAGTTCTAAGGTGCTGGGATACATTTCGTTTATTTAAGATAAGATTTTAAAAAATTAACAAATAACACGATAATTAAAATAATAATAATAATTTGATCACAGACATTTTAAATTATTTTCATTGAAGTCTAGTATTTTTTTTAATTATTTTAATTAAGAATCAATCAATAGGAAAAAAAATAATCATAAAAATTTAAAGAATTAAAGGATCATAGACGGCCAAAACTCTAATGAAATACCTGCAACTATTACTTTAATACAACTTACTATTGAAGAATGATAATTTCATAAACTTTATTTTTAATTGGTTGCGTATAATTTGGCTTTTTAAACCATGTCTCAATTAAAAATCAAAGGTTTCTCTTTTTAATTAATATGTTTTCTTTATTCTGTTTTACTTCAGAGTTTTGACCATATATATATATATATATATATATATAATCAAGAAAAGAAAAGCGCAATAATTGAGCCAAGGATCTTGGATATATCTCGTATCGATCAGCTTGATTGGGACACTTCGTACAAACATCATCATCATATTTCGTTTTCACAATCCTATCATGTGCCAAAGTCTGAGGGCGGTCCCTGCCCTTCCCTGCAATGCTGCATGTACGGATATTAGGCAACGTTTGTTTTTTTGTTAATTTGCTGCCTTCATTTCGTAGCATTAGTAAACTATCTTCTTCTTTTTTAATGTTTTTGCTGTTTGACCTATAACTTTAGTTCTTGTCCTAGTCAAGGTCTTGGAGGGGTCACATGGGTGTGGCTCTTTAAGGCAAAACATGAAAGGGAACTTTGGGCTACCGGCCTTTCTGGATTCAGTATATGGTCTCTAAAAAATTGCCACCAGAGTCATGAAAACAAATTCAAAAAGATAACATTAGCGTTAAAAGAACAAATTCTTTGCTTTCTTTTTCATTTTCACCAATGAAGTTGGAGAAATTTGCATATGAAATAAAGAAAGATCTGCTTGTTTTCTCCTTTTTTTGTCTAAGAAGAACTTTCAAGATTGGGTTCACCGGTCCACAAATAGATTTAGACGTGTTGGCATCTATGATAATATGCATCTCAATACTTTATCCATGAAATAGATGTTCAAAAAGAAAATAACAACTACAAAATTAAAGATGAAAACAGAAGATCCTAGTACTTAATTACTCGCAGAAATCTCTTCATATTTTTTTTCAAAGTGATTATTACCTCCACTATAACGGTGCACATCCAAAGAGGTAGAAGAAATGCATGCCCAGAAGAAAAAATATTAGTATTGTGCCATTTGATGAAACTTTAAAGTGTCAAGCTGCAACTATAATGTAAGAAAGATAGCAGTCCATCATCCTATTCCACATCAGGAAAACCAAATAGGATGTGAAATTCTAATTTTCCATCGGTTCTGCCATTGATATAATTCTATGCAAGTCTTAAAGAAACATTTATCTAACCATTGTACCTCTTAGGGTTTTAAGTTGAATTTCCTGAAGGACTTAGGCAATAAGAGTTGTAAATTCCATGCCATTCCCTTAAAACCTTCTATCAGCCAAATGAGTAAGTTATATATGCTTCTATGAGCATGCAACAACAATGGGCACATGCACGAGGAAAACCAGTGGAGTTGCTGATCATTCCTCAAGAAGTGCAATACCTTTGTTCCAAGCACTGAATCACTCAACACAGACCACCTAATTCTTTATGATGGAACTATTCACTGGCCTTTTTAGACCTTTATCACTCCAAGCTTAACTTATAAACTTTGCAGTGTTTGTGTTCTTGTTTCCAAGGAATGATTTATGGAATATGTTTGCCAAGTACAGGAAGTAAACCAGCATAGCCTACCAACAAGCTAATGGAAAGCAAGGATTGACTATGACGAAATGCCAAATGCCAAAGCTGAGGGAAAAACTAACATCCTGTTAGAAATTTTTTTTGTTGAAACAAATACAGCAAACCATGACAAAAGCACAAGTTTCAAGTACACTAATGAAGAAATCTTGAAATGCACATTGATAATTTGGAAATAACACTAATTTTTTTTAGCCAAAACAAAAAATTACAGGGTCAAGGGTATAAATTTTTAGTAGAACTCCAAATTGTAGCTAATTAATGATCCCAAAGAAATGATCTTATATTGTTGACACAAAATTAGAAATCAGAAGCAGAAAGGCTTCTCCAACCCAACTAGCTATAATTGCAGCAGCTTCAGCCTTCAAACCAGACTATACTTGAGAGGTCTGAGTAAAGGCGGCACTCTTTTCTCGAGATTTAAGAAGGTCTGAGTAAAAGCGGCACTCTTTTCTCAATAGGCAACTGTCAACACTCTTAATAGCTCAACAACTAGAGAGCCATTGCTCTCTGGTGTCTCAGACTTCGACCAGTCTTGATGGTCAAAAGTAATGGCAACAAATTTCACATCCCATCAATCTTTACGGCATGACTGGAGATTTGAAATTTTGCATAAATGATGATGAATCAACAGAAACCTGCACATCAACAAAGCAGATCAATCTTCTAAGAAATCAATAGGAAGAGAACCAAATGCTAGTATTCAATAACAAGAAATAAGCACATAGCAGTGTAATCATTTGGAGGCTGAATCAATCAAAAGACAGAAGTATGCACCGTATAGTAACTATTATTTTAAAAGATCTACTGTGGCAGAAGCTCTGCAGGACACCCATGAACAAGTTATATTCTTCAGGATTTGGAAAACTCACTTTCTACATCAGTTCAGGAGAAGACAATACCATTGCTGTTCTACTATCTGGCCTTTGCATGCGAATAGGTGAAAAGCGCATAACAGCTTCTTTTTTTTTTTTTTTTCTGACAAAGAATCAAAGACTAACTTGAACTGCACACTAAATCTTGCTTTCTTAAACTACAAAATAATGAGGACAAATGAATGGTATAGATATTGTAACACCTATCCCTGTGAGCAATTTTAACTACATCTTTGTTCATCTTTATTCTTCAGTTAATGAACCGTGCTCTAAAATTATGTCAAATACTTGGATATAATGGTACTTCTTTCTGTTTTCTATACTGTTTCCAGATAGCTGACACAACAACCTCATAATATCAAATGCAAGTCGATTGACAATTTCACATGGCGTGGCAAATGGGAAAGACAAATAAAGCAACATATACTAATGGTAAATTAAGAAAAGAGACAATTATTGCACTGTTCTTTATTTGGAAGCCACCAACGATCAATACACACAAATATGGATCACATAAAATTCATCATAAATATGTGCATGATCAACAACACTGATCAAAGAATAGTAAATCAGTACTTTGGAAATCATTACTCCCCCTCCCATAGCAGAGAACTATTACATATAACAACAGCAGCTTCCCCATTCACCAACTGTATTTCTCTCTAAATTCTAAATAAACAATACCATGAAGTAGTATGCTGAGTTACACAGGTGCGTTGGGAAATCCCACTTTGGTCAGGAATGACAAGTTTGAGGTGCTTATATTCAAAGATGGATTAATATCCCAATAGCACAAAGATGGATCAATACAATAGCTTAGACTTCTGGGTTCAAGGTTGTGTCCATCAACGTATATAGGCACTCATGTGCACAGGTCAATGGAGGAGCCCATGAAGTCTCTGCAGTGCAGATCTTAGAGAAACACCAAATACTTGGATTTAAAAAGTAAAATAAAATAAAATAAAAAGAGGAACCAGAGAGACTGCACAAATTAAACTAAATATGGAAAGGCAGTGAAAACAAGTTCCTGCAAAACTATTTCTAAACGAGACATGATAGTCAATGCTTCAATGGTCCCATTTCTGCTATTTTTTTCACCATCTACGAGGTTAGCTTCTCTTGCACAATTGAACAAGTTCTTTCAGTTTAAATGCATGGTGCATAATTGACTTCAGCGTGCTTAAAAAAGATTGGTACTACAAGCCTATAGGCCCTAGATTTCACAGTTTTCCAATAATAATACAAGTTTCAAAATCAGTAGGGTTAGAATTCTATTTTGGAATGTATAAATTTAGTGAGCAAAATCAGGTCAAACTTATCCTTTTGTTTTTGTTAGGCAAAGATATTCCAGTAAAAACTTTAGAACTCAAAGTGCAATTGCAGCTATTACTACCAACTAATCCTTCTCTTTTTGTGTGTGATTATTTTCAATCTAGTGAATTAGCTAGGCCAAAGAATTAACTGGTATCAAAACAGAGTTTGCAGAACTATAAAGTAAGCATATGTTTCACAATTAGAATGTTTCCTTTCCATTTCTCATAAGAAAAACCATGTTTTCCTTTCCCAACTGTCAGTGAAAGAGGAAACGAATGTGTGACAAAAATGGCAAATGTATTTACTCTTCTACAAGTACCTATTCTGTTTGTCTGATATAGTCTCAAAGAGATGATCCTATAATCGCTATGGTTTGTACATGTTCTTATTATAGCTAGATCAAACAAATACAATAAAGCTTACTGTGCATGTTTCAAGAAGCTGAAAAATAGAGTTAACTAAGTTACGAAAGAGCACATTCTAAGCATGTAAATTTGCATTCTTTTGCCCAAACAAAAATAACAAAGAAAGAAATAGAATACGAAGCTAACCTGCAGATTATTAGTTTAGACAGAATCAAATCTTTGCTAAGTAGCAGTCCTCGTGGCTGTTGATGATTTCTCCTTTCTCTTAGGCGAAGCTGATCTCTCCTGTGAGCTTCCATGGAAATTGTGCCCTCCACTCATTTCTTTTCTGCTAGAATCTTTTGGTAGAAATTTATCCTTTGTCTTGAAATAGTTCTTTTCAGTTCCTCTTTCTCTTCCAGCATTCCTTGTATGCCCCCTTGAATCCAAATTTTTATTCTTATCTCCTCTTCCTCTGCTACTTGGGGCATTTCTATGAGCATGTCTCTTACTCTCACCTTTCTCCCCATTATCATCATTGTATTTATAGTCATCTTTTGTTGCAACTTTACCCCTTGTCTTACTATGGTGTTTCTCAACCCCCTTTCTCTTCTAGCATTTCCTGAATGCCCCCTCGCATCCAAATTTTTATTCCCGTCTGCTCTTCCCCTTGGGGTATTTCTTCGAGCATGTGTCCTACTCTCTCCTTCCTCCTTCTCGTCATCATTGTACTTATAGTCGTCTTTTGGTACAATTTTATCCCTTGCCTTACCATGGTGTTTCTCGACCCCCCTTTCCCTCCTAGCATTCCTTGAATGCCCCCTCACATCCAAATTGCTATTCCTGTCTGCTCTTCCCCTATTAGTTGGGGCATTTCTATGAGTATGTGTCCTACTCTCACCTTCCTCCTCCTCCTCCTCGTCATCATCATCATATTCGCACTCATCTTCGCTATCATCCTCAAAATCACACCCCGCATCAGCCACTTCCACGCTATCCTTAGCATCCTCCTTTTCTCCTTGTCCTTCAGATTGGCCATCAGTCTTCTTTTCTTGTTGTTTGCTTCCTCCAGGTATGCTAATTGACTTATGTTCTTCAACATCCGTATGCATAAGATGAATATACTGATTCCTAATATCCACCACTGGATTCTTCTCAATTAACAATCCCCTCTTATATCCCTCCTTCAAAACAACAGTATAAGTTCCTATCTTACTCGACAAATAAAATATCCCCGGATGGTGTAGCAATGCTCTCTTAAACCTCGACCGGATCCCCAGCCACTCTCCCAAACACAACAAAGTGTCCTTCTCCACTTTCTTCGAAACAGAAAGATTAAGAACCTCATGCAATAGACCCACCGCCCATCTATCCGATTCATCAGTATTAGGCCCAAGATGCATAGCATTCTCATAGGGAGAAAAATAAGGAATCTTTTGCCAGTCACTTAACCACTGCTTCAACCTCTTATCCATTTCAAATCCCTTTGAAAACTGCATTGGAAACTCAATAGGCATCCCTTTAACATAACCATTTTCTCTACTTTTTGCCTTCTTTTCCATAACTGAAACAACCAATTCATTACTCCAGCAAACCAACTCCAACCCCAAATCCGAACCTGACCTAGACGACAAATTCTTATCCCCAATAACTCTAAAATAATCAGGGAACCCAGGAACTATACTCTTGACAAAATCTTGAGGCAAACCCAAATCCCATAATAAAAAATCAAGAATCTTTAATGGAATTTTATCCATTCTTGAAATCATTAACAACTTTAAAAGCCTACAAGCAACATCATTCTTATAATTCTCACTTTGATAAACTAACTGTTCTTCACTATCAAGATCAAGTACCTGTTGTGTTAACTTGACATGAGGATGGATTCCAATGCCGCCAGGTAGAAATTCTTGAAAGATTGAAGGATATCTTCTGATTAACTCTATTGGCCGTAATGGGATTTTAAGGGAGTCTTTTCGTTGAGTGATTATGGAGATAGGAAGTGATTTTGATGGCTCTGATTTTATCAAGTTCTTTATTGTAAGCACTGGCTTTAAGTGCTTTTCTCGCTCTACTGCATGGTCTAAGCCCCTGTCTTTGACGTGCTTGATGGCCGCAAAATCGACAAGGCTGCGGCAGTGACAGTGGTGGTGATGGCGGCTGTGGTGAAGGGATTTCGGATGGGAGTGGAAGAGGAATTGCATTGTTGACGCTGCAGCTTCCTCTGTTTCTTCTGAAAATGAGAGTATACTGGGGGAGGGAAGAGGAGGGTACAAGAAGGGTTTTGGTTTTTCCTCATTTATTTATTTATTTTTATTGTTTCTTTTTCTGTTTTTCAGTTTTGAGTAAATGGCCAGAGTTTATTTTAACTTGGATTAATTGGAGGAAACGTCCTCCTACTTTTTGAAAATTTTTAATGTGGTTTCTGTAATTTTTGAATTTCTTTAATATGATCATTTTAACGAATTTCAAATCGATTTTTCAATTAAAACTAAAATCTAATATAAAAAATTCTATATAACATGACATGTTGACAAATTTTTCATATGACAAAAAATATAAAAACAAAAAAAAATCTAAAAAATTACAAAACAACTCTCGATTACCTTTCAAATTTTCAATAACTACCAACATTCAACACCTTTTAATATACCTAGCATTTTTAAAAAAATCACAAGATTGAAAAAAAAACGAAAAACAAAATACCGTATTAGGTTAGAATTCCAACGATAGAACCACTACAAAACTAACATAACATCAATTATCACACGTTATATTCTTGTTTACTTCTATTCCTTTTAGGTGAATAAGAATTATTATGATTTTGGGAATAAGGATGCCGAAAGCATATTTTAATTGATTCATTTTAAACTTGTGGATATGTATTCATTCAGAAAAAGACTTTAAGTGATTAAGATGTGAAACTCGATAACTAATTTAATTACCATAGAATCAATGTGAAGCCATGATAACTAATTTAATTACCACAACATAAATATCATACCATATCATGAAATATCATATTCAATGCTCGTTGATAAGTTGTTCTAGCATTTTTTGTTTTTTTTTGACCCAAGACATTACAATCCATATATGTCAACCTTACTTTATCGATCCTATTTTAGAATTGTTTTGAACCTATAATGAGTTGCATAGGTAAGACGCCTAGAATTTTTGTAGTTCCTCTAGCTAAATCGGCTATACTGACCTCTAGTAGAAGCATATATGTCAACCTTACTTTATCGATCCTATTTTAGCAAGCATTCCAAGAAGAAAGTTTGTCTAATGCAACAACATTATCTATTAATGCTCTTAAGACAGGAATACCATTAAAGAGGCTAATCATTTATAAAGGCTTAATGTGTTAGCTTGTAGTTGTGCTCGGCCATGTGAATATGATTTTCTCTTCTTTTACTGATGCAATGAGAATATTTGCAAGATTCTCATAAGCATTTTGGTCGTTAGTTGTTAAAGATGGAGTCTCTTTATCACTAGCCTCTTTATTTTTGTCATTAAGAAAAGAAAGTTGACTAAATGTGGCCTCGGAAGAGCAAGAACAAAATTAATCGAAGGGAGATCTCCCCATTTAGCTCTATACCTCTAATAGAATATCGACCTTGTTTTCATTCTTGCTGTTTGAACCCCCTATTAACCAGTTCATTTCGATGGTATAATTCACTTCATCAAGCTCTCCTCTTTGACCTAAAATCCTTTATTCGAGCTCTATGTTTCTTCTCTCTTAGTAGCTTCTGTATTCACCAATAGTGTGGGATCAATAATTTATTTCCTTTTATTTATTGGAATAACGATCATTGCTGAAACAGATTAAGGTTTATTTATGACCCTTGAACTCTTGAAAGTTTCCTTAGATTCTTTGCTCAATTCAGCAGTAAAACATATGAATCAATCATATTTATTTCTAGAAAAAGGGCGTTGTAGGATGGCTTCAACAACTAAGCCATTACGAGCAGATTTATTTGTGGATTATCATTGAGGAGTCATTTTAGGTAAGGTTCAACTTATTTTCCTCATACTAAACTAATGAGTTTTTACGTTCTTCTAAACTGAGTCTTTGTAAGCTTCTCTTAAACCCATCTTCTTTCTAAATCTAGTAAATGGTTGTGATCAAGCATGTCATTTTTCACCATAGCTTCTGACTTCATCTCTTAGAATGATGTTTATGTCAATTTGTATCTAAAGTTGTGGTTATGCAAACAACTTTGTTGTTCATGTGGAGTTCCCCTGTAAGTGTAACACTATCGAGTAGTTTAGGAATTTATGTTTTGCTGAACAAGTTGGAACCTTTGAAAGATAGATTTTCTAGGCATAGATGGAGTCCTTTCTACATGTCGCCTTTCATTTTATAGGATCCTCTTTTAGCTTGAGCTCTGACTTTGGGCGGTTAGTTGTGGTTTTCTGAATAATTCCAAATCCTAGAAGTTCCTTAAGAGTGATAAATGCTACGATCGTTGTAGCTTTGAGAAAAGGATCTTCTTCCACTTGCATTTCCTTATCTGTGAACTTCAATCGATCAGACTCAAGCTCTTTCTGGATCTGATTTCTAAAAATATAGTAGTTATAGGTCTAAGTGTTTCCAAGAATTATGCCATTTGCAGTACGTTTGCTCTTTCAACTACTCTTGTGTTGGGAGTGAATGATCCCCGATTAGCTTAGTTTGTCCTCCATGTTTGAGCTAGTTAAATATTTTACCTGTTCGATCAATATGAAAAAAAAAAAAATTTCTTTAGCAGAGAATTCATTGGTAGCCTTTGTTATTTCTTATCTTTATAGGACCTGGCTTGGTGAGCTTCGTTCTCTTTAAGGTAAAACACTTAAATAGTTGGCCATCGTTAATTTCTTCTACCCAAATAGCATAATCTTTCCTGCTATTAGAATTGTCCGAGTTTACCTCAACCATGTGAGAAGGGATGAAATTGGCTAAAGTATTAGCAGCATAAGTTCCTTTTAGGGATTTTTTAGCAGCTTCAGCCGCTCAAGCATTCAAGGTTTGCTCATATTTGGATGCTTAATCGATTAAAGCTTGTGCGTCTTTAAACTTTTAAACAATAAACTTTTTCTAGATCAAACAGTTCATTTCTCTAAGAACCATCTGAACATAGTTTACTTCAGGAAGAAAGGTTGAGCACTTCATCTTCTTATTTATGAATCTTTAAGAATATACATCAATGGTCTCACCAGGTTGTTAAGACAATACGACAAATATCAGTATACTCAAAGAAATTAATTTATGCAGTTTTTTTTTAAACAAATTCATGCAATTTTAGTTTATTTATTTTTATTTTTTAAATATAGATAGAATTCTATAGTCGTAGTTAGGTTGTCAAGGGTTAGCACTGTACTATATATCACACGACAAATTGAATTAACCATGTTAGAAGGATAAAAAGCTACTGTAACGCTATCTTATACTAAAACTTTTTTTAAACTCAAGTATGGTGAGAAAAGAATTTAAACCCATGAACTTTTATAAATAAAAAATGTTGACTTTCATTAAATTAGAGATTTATTAATTCCTTTAATTCAATTGGACATTGACAATTTGTGGATCAGTTATAAGACATTGGTCAGTCGGCTTCCTTTTTAAGGTTTCGTGGAGGTGATAGCTGAAGTAATAAATTTGGTCCAGATACTTATGATGGTCATCCTGATGAATGCCAATATTATGGTGATCACATGTTGATAGCAGAAAAAGCATTTAATGAGATAATAGTATTTAACCAATGATAGTTGCCAATACGGTGCAATTTCTTTGCAGATGATAGATATAATAGACGCATCGACAGACAAAGCAAATTGCTAATCACCAAGTACGATGTTACGACAAGAACAGAAGCTGGAATAAGGGCACCGAAGACCAACCTGTTATGACAGAAGTAGCATGATGCAATCCCTTTGATGATGGTGATGAGCTGGGTAATAATAATAGCTGACAAGGCTAACAGATGGCAGTTAAGCTGGCAGTGGCTGAGATATTGGGTTGTTAGTAATTAGTTTGGCGTTAGTTGGGTTATTAATAATAAAGAGGAGTAAAGAAAAAGAAAAGCCAGTTGGTTAGCAAAACTGATCTTCTCTCTTCTCAACTCTTTCTTCTTCTTCCTCTTGAATCCTTCGTTTTCCTTCTTTATCTGTATTTCTTTTCTTTGCAGTGTAAACATCTTGTTACACTGATTTCACTCATTACATTTTTGTACAAATCATTGTTTCAACTAATTTCAATAAAAATCCTAGTTTCTATAGGTCGTTTTTGTAATTCTTTAGTAATTTTTCATTGATTTGAATTGGAGTTGCATCAATGGTATCAAAGCTGATTCTCACACTTGTGGAAAGCAAATCAAGTTGATCAATCATGGCAAAAGTGAGATCTGATTTGAAGAAGGTGGAGGAGTCAATTAACAATCTCACCAAGGTAATTACTGAACTTACTTAACAATGTGATTCTATGTTCCTATTACATGATGAAGAAATTGGTGAATTGAGGGAGTTGATTAATGGAATCAAGAATCTAGTAGCTGAAAAAGTACCGGATAGAGTAAATTGTAATGTAGATGAAGGATTGGATGGGTTAAATGGTAGAGGTTACCAAATTCCTAGTTACAAATATCCTAACAATCATGTTGGAGTGATGAATAACAATTTTGAAGGAGTTATTGGGGAATATAGTTACAACTACAATACTCATATGTCTAAGGTTAAGTTTCTTAGATTTTTCAATGATGATTTTGAAGGATGGATATTCAAATATAAAAAGTTTTTTATGGTGAATAGAACACTAGAGGAAGCTACGGTGAATTTAGATACTATCCATTTAAAAGAAGAAGAAGCCTTAAAGTGGTATCGAGTGTTTGTGAGGATGAATAGTGTTAAGAGTATGACTAAATGAGAAGAATATATAGGAGTGATGAGTATACATTTTAGAGTTATGATTTTCAATGATCCTATGACAAAATTAGTAAGGTTAAAGCACACTCATAATGTACAATAATTCTTTAGGAAATTCATCTATGTTGTTAATAGATTAAACCTACTAGAAGATTTGACACAAGCTCCAATTCCGGACAAAGAACCACACGAGAAATTAACGGATTGTAATGTAATGTAAACAAATGCAAAATAATGCAATGCGAGAAACACTTCAAACAAATACTTCAATTGAATTGAAATGCAAAGAATATTTTACAAATGAAATCGAAAGAATTTGACGAGATAGAAGAGAATCATAAAGAGAAGAAGAGTTTACAAAATATCCAAGATACTCTTTCCTCATTCACTTCTCTATTTATATTCTAACTCTAACAACTAATCCCTAACAACTAACTAATTCGGTTAAGCCGATTGTCAAGGTATATGCTCCACTATTGCGGTAGCTTCATCTTCTCTGCTGCACTCGTAGTTATAGCTAACCGTGTTAATCGTTAACTCGCCATAGCTAACTTCTTCTCCACCTCGACTAATCGACCTACATTATTAATTTCTCGCTCCTCCCACGAGCCGTAGTGATTTTTACCATGTCAACCTTATTTCAGCTTTATTTCCAACTTCGCTCATCTCGACTTATTCTTTACTCTGCTAATGCTACTCTAATTCATACCTGTAACAATACCGCCCCTTAGGAAACCTTGTCCTTATGGTTAAAGGTAGGATATTTCTATTGTAAATCAAAAGCAAACTCCCATGTAGCATCCGCGAGTGAGCTATAGGACCAATGAACCGAAGTTTAGTTCCTACAACATTTCCTCTCTTAACCGAGTTTCCTATCAAGGATGGCTAGAGGAACTAGAGTGACATCCGAAGTGGTTGGCAATGAAATATGATCAAGCGGATTGCCCCTAACTGGTTTCAATCGAGAAACATGGAAAGTGGGGTGAATCTACACATAACTAGGAAGGTCTAAAGTATATGCTACCTCTTCCACCTCATCCATAATCTTAAAAGGTCTATAGAACCGAGCCGATAACTTGTGGTTACCGTAGTAAGCCACCGAGCTTTGTCTATAAGCTTACAATTTTAAGTAAACCCAATCCCCTAACCGAAATACATGATCAATTCTATGCTTATCAACCGAGCTTTTCATCTTTTACTCGAGCCTTTTGAAGATGAAACTTAAGTAATTCCATAATAGCCTCCTTATCTTGCAAGAACTAATACACTCGCCTCTACCTTAGAGTCTTTAGGAAGGTATGACGGATGCAAGGAAGGTGAATATATATCAATTAAAGGAAGGAAACTTATAGCCATACTTGTATATATTTTAATGCAATATTCCATTCTAAGAAAAATGGATACACTGCTATATACATACATTTAAATGCAAACTTTTCATTTTTAAGAGAAAATGGATACATGATAATGGACTTGGTCATTGCTTGGAAGGAAAATTGCCACACCCGTGTTCCATACAAAACCTCTTTTTCACGTACATATCTCTCTTATACATTTTCATTCCCTACAACTTATCAAGCAAACATAAACTAATATGTACACTCATTGATTGATCCACTTAATTCAAGGCAAAAATATGGATTAGAGTATAACCTATGCTCTATTGTTATCCCAAACTCTATAACCTATGCTCTTATATCAATACTTGTCAAGACCACTAGGATCGGGCCATGACCGGTGTAAGGATCGAGAAAACCGTGAGACCTACCTCGACTTAAGCAAGCCCGGAATACTAAATTAAGCCTCAATCATGATTGGATTTAGACCATAGTCCTCATATCAATATCATTCAAATTATCATTTCAATCAATATTTTCATAACTTAATAAATATTTCTTTACAATCTCAATACAGACTTCTAATCAACTTCTAATACACTACCCATAACTATAATTATAGAGCATCTAAGATTATAATTTAAAATAAACATAGGTTCTAAGGAGTTTATAAGGAAATAAGTCGTACGATTAAAGTATCGACTTCAAATCAAATAACCAAGAGGAAGCAAAGAGCAATCCTTCAATATCCTACAAAACTGAAATAATGAGAGGTGAGCAATCAACGGCTCGGTAAGTAGACATTATATAATGTACTAAAGGAGGAAAACGGACTACGGATGATGTTCTCAAATTCATGTCAAAATGTAATGCTAGTTTCTCAAAACACATGCATATCGAAAACACATCTCATATCACAAATCGAATTGTTCAAAATCATTTCGAATCAAATCAACAAAGCATTTATATATACATATATTGTACTTATACAAAAACAAATATATAGGTTTTTATACACCCGTGGAGTAATAACATATCATTAAGTGTGAACACCTAAAAGTCACTCCCTCCGTGACTAGGTTTTCATATGTTGATCGACATAGGATCTAGCACTACACCTCTCTTACTAGATGGAGTGTCATATCATCGGGCTCAAAGGCTACCCTCCGGTAGCTAGGTTCCTCGGGGTCTCGAAAACATTTTTAAAAACTAAATACACTTATACATTTTCAAATTGGTATTCAAACACCATGCATGCATTTTTGTCAAATACGTATATACTTAAAATAATGAATATAACATATACATGTTCAAATTCAAAAACACATATCAAACCATTCACATTTATCCAATACATTGAAATCTCTTTTCAATTCTCATCAAATCATTTGCTATGAAAACATTTTAAATATTTAGAATTTCTATTTCCATCTAAGTTCTACTATAACGAAATAAATCATTCATAAATAATGATGCACGATGGACGAATCAAGAACTTTAAAACATAATATACAATATAACATCCACTCATAGTACACCAAAAGAACCAAACGAAATCAAAACGGTTAGGATGGAGTCGCCCTTTCGAAGAATCTAACATCACAAAATTATGGACCATCCATCAATATCATATAACAAAGAATAATCCAAACAAAGAATTATTCTAGAATTAGAAATACAAGATTATCAAATAAATAATTGAATTGACTAAAAGGAAATGACCTAATAATCTAATTAAATCTTATAATCCCCTAATTGATTCTAAATAATCTCTTAATCATATTCCTTTACCAATCTTCAATCCATTCCTTAAACAATCAACTAACTCTTAATTCGATTAAATGATCAATTCTATTCTAATTCACCCAATAATCACTCCATTCATCTTTAATTACACTTTTATAACTTAATTCCTCATTTTTCTCAAAATTGTTTCGAATTAAAACCTAAATTTAGATTTGTCACTATTCATCTTCAACTTCTCAATTTCTCAAATTCATTTGATTTCAATTCAAATTAACTTCTTATTTCACTTAACTAAGATGATTAAACATCAATTAAATACTTAGCGGCACTTAATCAAACTTTTTTCCAATTGGGTCTCAAAAACCCTAACCTTAATCTAATCAATTCCCGTAGTAAATCTAAATCCAATGCAATTGCATATCGATATTATCACTATTTACATATAAGCATTCTAATTAAAAGATCAATGGATCAAAATCTTACCTTAAGAACTTATCCTTCAATTCTCCAATTTCTTCTTAGTTTCTTCACACTTCCAAGCTCCAATCTAGCCAATCTCCACTTGAATCTTCTTATTTATGGTTTCTTTAAGCTAATTTAACATGGATTTAGCTTAGAATTTAAACAAAGGAAATTGGAAGAAATTTGGGAGAGAGTCGGGTGAAAGAGGGAGAGAAAGAGAAGGGAAAATTTTAAAAAAAATGAGCGAGTTATTGCTCCTTTTATACCAACCTCCTTTTGTCTTGGGTTACTACAAATAAATAACTAAATAAATATATATATATATATATATATATATATATATATCGTTAGTTTTGTTGAAAATTAATTATGTATTTACATACATAGCACCATTAGTCCCTTCGGTTCAAAAACTATTATTTTATTTTTTTATTTTTTTGCTATTTCAATATTTTTATTTTTTTTAAGAATTAGAAAAAAATAAAAAATAAATTATTCGTGGTTAACACTAATTAAAAAATTAAATAATTTATTTTTGAAACCAAAAGATTTAATTCATTCTTTTTTGAAAATGAGAAGAACTAATTTATAATTTAATTTCCAATTCAAGAATCTCTTTCATCATAAATTAAGAAGTAAAATTTATAAAAATCAATTTTGTAGTAGTTTTTATTTCAATTTATTGACTTTAATATATTCCATACTACTTAGATTTTTTTAAAAAAAATTATTTATTCTATATACTTTGAATTGAATTTACTAAGTATGATATATATATATATATATAGTTTTGTTAAAAATTAATTATGTATCTCGCTTAAATAAATATATTATTTGTTACTTATTCTTTTTTATGTTTTAAAATCAATATTTTTAAATAAAATAATTGAAATAATGTTTTGAAAGAACCTTTTAGTTATTCAAATACAAATTTTTATACTAATATTATTAATTATTTTGTTAACAAATACATCTAAATCAAACAATTTTGCTCAACAAATAAATTTGATTTACATTAATTATGAGAAGTAAGATTTTTATTTACACTACACCATATGAATCATTAATCTTATATATATAACGGTTATCCGACCGAAACATAACACATTAACCTTATATATATAACGGTTATCCGACCACGGCATAACACGGGTATCTAACTAGTTTTTTTCTCAATAAATTCAAGTGGTTATTGTTAGTGTGAGAGGAGAGGAGAGGAGAAGCCAAGGTAAACGGATGCTCGCAAAGGGTTAAAATAATCATCACATCAAGATTAAGGGACTAACTTTAGCCTCCTCTCGACTTTGAGGGAGTACTCATAAACAACCATAACCTCTTGGTTACTAGCCTAATGCATAATCTCATTTGTAATTAAAAACATCCCAATTTCTAGTTGAAAATAGTCTTTCCCTTCCCAACTAATAAAAAGTGTTACCCATGGAAGGGAAAAACAAAAACACCTGACCAAAATAACCGGGAAACCACATTTCATCTCGCTCTTTTTGCCACTGGAAACCGACCATGTCCGCCTCATCCGTCGAAGACCTTCTTTTTGGTTTTGTTTTCAAAGCAAAATGGAGTTGAGATTTATGTTGGATTGTTTTATTAGGCCCAAGATGCATAGCATTCGCATAAAGAGAAACATAAGGAATCTTTTGCCGATCACTTAAACTAAGAGGGAAATAAACCTAAAGCAAGGACAGCTTTTTGACATCAATGGGATAAAATTCACTTTTAAGATTAGAATTATAAGCCTTTGTTGCTATCCGAACATTCACAGCTTACGTTGGATGCAACCCATCAAAGAAGACATGAATGTTCCTGTCTTCACGAGGTTGCCCTTCTTTTTTATAAAGGATGTCATTCCCTCCTTCATTCAGGGGACATCACTTCACAACAAGCATTGTTTGTGTCTTTGAATCTCGTTAATTACACGTAAA